CTATATGTTCCTATAAAACATGTTTTGAAGATCAATCCTAAAAGTAAAATGATCATGAAATTCTATACGCCATGTTTTGTGTTTCTCTAAAACTATAAATTTTCTACAAACAATGCAATTAAGAATTTTCCAACATAAAGATTCTAACTAGCAAATGCAATGTCCTGATCATCGCTCCTCATCCTAATTAGCAAATCAAAAAGCGGATAGTGTTTGCTCTGTAAAAGTCGATCTTGAAATTCATATCCTGTCGTTATATATGGATTCATTAGTTATGTACGGTTATTATTATGTTTTAATTAATGAGAATATAGACCATAGTCCATAGACCATGAATTTTTTTAGTCAGTCTCAGTTTGATTGTCAGTCTCAGTTTGACCGCAACTTAATAATCACACTCAAACATGTATGAATATCCAACCAAAATCAAAACACTCAGATATTACACAAACTCAACCACATAAGCTACTTATCTTGGAAATATATCATACTATATCCTGCTAGTCAATTCGATTTTAATCGTTAGTATGAAAAATATAGTCCGACCCATATATATAAAGTTTCTAAAGGAAGATTTATAAATTTCCGACTCAGTAAACTCACGTAACTATATTAACTTTAAACCAAGTATCCAACGCTCGAACAACGGATTTTTTTTAACTTTACTCATGGGCAATGGATCTCAATTCGCAGAACTCTTTTAAACACAAATTTTAGGCTTTTTGTAATCCGTTTTACAAAGATAAATCTTGATTAAAAAGATGATTCGTTTCTCCAAAGGATAAAACAATTATTTAAAGGAAAATGTATGCTTGAAATTAAAACAAAGGGCGATAAGTAATCTTGAAAGCAGAAGGTAGGACGATAAGTAGTCTTGAAAGCAGAAGGTAAATGTATGCTTGAAATTAAAACAAAGGACGATAAGTAGTCTTGAAAGCAGAAGGTGAAGATAGAGTATGAAAATACTTGGAAGTTGAAAAGTGTTTCAACTCTTGGTTTTTCCATGAATGATGACACTTCAAAAGTTCCGTCACTCCTCTTTATATAATTCAAGGATCCAATGAGCATAAGCGCCATAAATGATTTTTGGGGGCTTGAAACCAGCTTCCACAGCCAAAAAATCAAATTCCTCTCTGGTTCTCTCTTTGCCTCCAATCGTTTTAGCCATCATTACCACATCCATATGTAATACATTTTTGGTTACTAGATCCGTTTCTGATATTTCTCGCGGCATTATTGATTCAACTATAATCACTTTCCCGTCTTTGGGTAATGCTTTCTTACAATTTTTTAATATCTCCACACATTGTTCGTCACTCCAATCATGAAGTATCCACTTAATCATCCAAAGCAGAAAAAAAAATTATTAGTGCTATTACTAGCTAATGTCATACTGTTAAGTTATTGACGATGATCTCATGTTTTTGTTTATTTCAAGTATTGAAAATCTACTGAAGATCGTATATACATATGTATTGTGAAACAGGTAGATTTACCTTCAGGAATATGGCATCACCTTGTGGAATTGCATCAAACATATCACCACCAACGTGTTCCACGCCTGACAAATAGTTGATCTTTAATAAACATAGGATCCGTAGTTTTTTACCAATAATATATATAGAGATAAAATTTATTCCGTCCCATGGGAATCGTTCGTTGCTAATCAAAAAGCATTTCAAATTAATCCCTTGCTAAATTTCACGACAGTTTTTTGGTCCTTATCAAGTAGCTAATTAACAGCTACTTCATTAGCTCTTTATTTACCAACAATATTATGATGCCTTTGAATTTTGGTTGACACATCGATAATACTAGCACAAACTTACTGAATCACATGTCTTAGTTCAACCATTTAGTTTTATGAGTTATTTTTTAAAAATATATGTTTAATTTTTGCTATCACTTCGAAGATTAATCTAACTGGTCGGGTTGTCGTTTTTATTTGTTGTGTGAATTCAGATATTTCTAAGATAATTTTCAAAGATACCACTTTTGCTATACTTTCCAAAAATGTCACGCTTTCCAAAAATACCACTAATATTATATCATTTACTCAAAATATTTATTTATATTTGGGTTAACTATGTTA